GGCGGGAAAGTCGATATTCTGGGAGTATAATGCTGAACAACATGTTCTCTCTCTCTTCATCATAGACTCTGCCCGTCATGTACATCCGACACACGATCAGAGTCTCGGGTCTTACCACTCTTGCGTGTATCACTGTACCCCCACCATCTATCTCACCCGTGGACAGCTAGTGGCTGATCCTTCCCGCTGGATGACGCCCAAGAGTCCAGGTCCCTTCGCTGTAGCCGATAGGCTAACGGACCACTGCGAGTACAAGGCACTACCAGAGGCCCAGGGCCCAAGACACGCAGGGACTTGCACTCTAGCCTCTAGCACTGACTCTTCCCCCCCCCATTTAACTCCCAACAAAGGTCCGACCTCGTCTTTCTCTTTCTCTCCCTCCTCTTACCCATCATCCACGGGACAAGTCAGACAAAACTAGCTTGTCCCATCTTCATCTCCTCCATCTCCCCCTTCATTTTTTATTCCTCTCGTCAACCGCGAATGCTGGAGGTGTATCAGTGCCGAACCTCTGGTGTCCAGGTGCCCCACTCCCCATAGCGTCATCTGTCTGTTATCAGCAGACCAGAGGCGTCTAATCACACTTTCTGTCTCTCTCTTTCTCTCTCTACTTTATCGCACTCTGTGCTTCTCCTCCATCAACCCGCCTAACAGAGAAATATTTATCAGATACAAGAAAAAAAAAGAGAAAGCCTTTCACCATGGCCTTCCATCAACCACGTCGGCCGATACAGCGGCCTGTGCGGCCTCCAGCGGCAGAGGACCGCGAACCAGCCAGCCCTCAACCACAGCAATCCCACCTCCAAGACCAGAACCAGCTCGACCAGTCTCAGACATCATGGGTCCTCTTCTCCCCCACCAGCGTCGACGACCACTATACCGAGTCGGAACTCAGCGGTTCTCCCTCCAGCGCTGTTGCGCCTCCGAGCCTCAAGACGCCTGGTCGCTCGCGACTTGGCGACCCCGGTAGTGCCCAGGGTGCCAGATCAGACATACATGATGGAGGAGATGTGAGCATATCTGCCGTCACGACCTCGGCCATCGGGGATGATCTCGGCGACGAGGATGCCGAGCTGGACAGCCTCGACAGCCATCTCCCGTCCTTTAGGTCGTTGCCTAGGAGGGACTCGTCATCGCAACAGCAGCCTGGCGGCACCCAATCCTTCCCAACTGCCGTATTCCCCTCCCACGACGGGCTTGGATCGTTCCACCTGCAGCATCCCACATCCGGAACAGAAGCCCAGGACCAGATCTACCGATTTGAAAAGTTCAACCCACGCAGGACACAGCACAGGAGAGAGAGCCTGGATCGCATCCAGACCGAGTGGGAGAGCGAGCAGGCGAGGGAGGCGCAGAGGAGGCAGCGCATCGAGGCGTGGCGCCTGGAACACAGCCGCGTGCTGCTCGAGGAGATCCAGCGCGAGACACGGAGGCGGAGACGCTCCTCTATGGGGTCGGCGGGCCATGTGCATGCTGTCCTGCGCACGCCGTCTGTCTCGGCGAAGCAGCAACCGCAGTCGTCGACGGGGGAGGACATGGACGATCTGACGTGGCATGACGAGGATGCGGACGTGCCATCTACGGAGCCCGGCCTGCTCGCCAAGTTTGCCCAGACTGTGATCAAGGACATATTGGGTATCGACGACCGCATGCTGTCCCTCCTGGTTGGCGAGGCGATGCCCGAGGATGCCGATGAGGAGAAGCTGTCGACCACACCGCGGGCGTCGCATATGTCGTCGGCAGCCACGGCCACCAACCGAGACGAGCCTTGGCAGACGGCGGTCCTGGAGCGCGTGTCCCGCGAGCTCGGCCTGCTGGTCAATCAGCTCTCGCACCACCACCCCGGCGCCTTCTCGACATACACCAAGGTGCAGCAGATGCCTCTTCCGTACGCGGGTCTACCCGTGATCCCGGAGACGGGCAGCGCACCCGCCACGACGATCGGAGACGGCAGCCAGCAGACGCCGGCGATGCCCCAGTTCCAGCCTACGATCAAGCAGGCCACGCGTCCCACGGCGACTTCCTCGGACAAGCCCTCAATCGCCACCATGGCTGGCGACGGCGACACGTTCACCAAGGAAGAGTGGGAGCGCGATCTAGATATCAAGCTCGTGTTTAGGTACATCCGGTCCCGCTTCACGGCCGGCAGCAGCAACAATGAGCCGTCGCTGCCGCCGTCCCCCTCGGCGCTGCAAGCACCTCTAGCAGGAAACGGCACGGGATCCCTCGCGGCATCGACATCCCAGGACACGGCAGCCAAGGCAGCCCGCGTCCGCCAGCACCACCCGCTCATTTCCCGCTCCCGCACGGCAGACCACCACAGGCGCGCGTTCAGGGCGACGGCCCCGACTGTGGGGCCCAGCAGCAGCCCCGTGGCCGTCATGAGGCATCACAGCAGCTGCGCCAGCCAGAGCACGCGACGGTCCACCAGGAGGAGCAGCGTGTCGTCCAGGCACTACTGGGATATAGGCGGCTCACGAGGCACGGGGTCGGTGATTGCATCGAACGGGCCCATGGGGAGTTGGGGCGAGGTTTAGGTCTGGGTGTATTACTATAGCATGTGGCATGGCCATCTGGCATGACCAATCTCTTCTTTATCTTATTCTTCATCATKTTTTTTTTTTTTTTTTTTTTTTTTTTTTTTTTTTTTTTTTTTGCTGCTGCAATTCACGACTTGGCATGMMGSACTTCTTCKWCTCCTTCTACCATCTCATCTGTTTTATTCGGTATGTTTGGCTTACTGTCATCTCTCTTGTCATGTGTTATCCTGGGTAATTGGTCTTGGAAGAAGTCAGCAGACGGACGAACAATACATTCTTGATAGATTCAATAGACGATGTTAATGGAACGCAATTGATGATGTTTACGAGATGTACATGGCCTGCTCTGATCTCTGATCTGCCTCACACACACACACACACACACACACACACATATATATATATATATATATACATATATATATATGCCATGATCATCATTTCACTGCCGCCACCCGTCGAGTCATCCGTATGCGTCACTCGTGCTGCATCGCCGCGGCATCATCCACGTATGGCACGCTCTGCACGCACACCACCAATCCATCTCTCACGGTGATGCAATCCCAACTAGCATACAACACTTGACTGTAAGCACGGCACTGCAGCTGTGTATGGCCGAGTCACTTGGACAAGTTACCTTGATTGGATGAGCCAACCTACATGTAGATATATCCATCTCGATATTGTCCACATAGAGTATCCGTACGATCGTCTATTGCTGCCCGTACATCCTCTATCAATCCGTAAACGCCCCACAGTTGTATTGGCATGGTGGCCGGTCTACTCCGTACTTGCGAGGCATTCCGTAGCGCTGGTACGAGTACTTAAAACCATGTACCGTGTAACCTCTTACGCCCTGGCCGCGACGGACGCCGTCACTTCTTATGCTCCAACGCCATCTTCGCACTGTAATCAGTGGCCGCGCCTACGAATCCTCAAGGTCGTGGCTTATCATCCCCTCTCTCCATCAACTCTCCAGTCTTGTTCTCTTGCATCCGTAGCCGGGAAATCACGTCCTCGCAAAATCACGTCCTCGCAATCAACGCATATATAAACCCCCGCCCCGCGCGCGCGTCACGTCCCGCCTCCCTCGATATAATACTCGACAACATCAACCCCTCTCATCTCGACATGGTGCTCCTCCATCCTCCAAGTCACCTCTAGACCCATGCAACTGGGCGCTGTCTCTCCATAATCATCGTCGCAATCACCGCCTTCGTCTCATATCACCTCTCTTTCTCGAGGACCTGAGGGCCGACACCTCGATATCCCAGTTGGCCCCATCAATGGGCGCACTCCGACCCGCCCCAAATGGCCGCGAATCCATTCCGCATCAGCAATGCCGGCCTGCCTCTGTTCAACATCTACAATGACGCGACGTCGTCCCTGAACAGCAACAACAACAACGACGACGACGACGACGGCGGCGGCGGCGGCGGCGGCGGCGGCGACAATGACAACAACCGCCTGCCGCCGCCGCGGCGTCCGCCTAGGACCTTCTCCCTGCCTGGGGGGCCGTGCAACTATGGTGACATGAGCGCTGGTCCCAACGGTCCTAGGTGCGGCTGTCAGCGTTTCTGGGCGCGTCCTGCTGCGCTTACTTCTGACGGCGACGACGGTGGTTCCTGCATGTGCGGCCATCACGCCTGCTTTCATCTTGATGATGCCACGGGAGGAGGCCTCGTCGTGACCCCCCACTCTGGTCTCGGCCAAGAGAATGAGAGACCCCGGTCTGCTCCACGTCCGCCGCTCAGCCCCGTCGTCGACCTGTCACTCCAGATGCCTCCTCCCCTCACGACCGCCCCGGCCTCTGCATCGTCGTCTTATCCTCCTATATACCCCATTGACGACGCTCTCTCCTTTATCCACGAGTACAGTGATCTTCCCGGCGTGCCTACCCAGCATGACACAGCCTCCGGACTGCCCTATGGCTCCTCCCAACAGCAATCACAGCGCCAGATACCGCAGCATGCATCGTCCCTCCCCGACACGCTCCCCTGGGGCAACACCCCGCTGTCTCAGGCGTCTTTTTTTCATTACAAGCCTGGCCTGGCCCCTTCACCCGGCCGTCCACCCTCGCAGGCCACGTCGACGACCTCCTCTGCCCGGGTCCGATATCAAAGGCCCTTTGCGGGTAAGGGACTGAACACGCTGACCATCCCCAAACCGTCACCGGTGCATGCTGCCTCTCCTGAAACCGTCACCTCCGGGCGGCAACTTGCCAGCATGCCCGCCACTGCGCAGGATGATACCCAACCGGAGCCTCGAGCTGAGGAGCTGGGAGTGTCCCGCGAAGAGTTCAACAGCATGTCTGACACCGTTGCCGGGCACGAGCAGCGCATAGGCCGCCTCGAGACGACGTCGTCCTCGTTCCGTGGCGGCGGTCACGAAGAGTGCGATGAGAGGCATGATCATGGAGATCTGCGCATGACAGACATGGAGGCCCGCATGGACGAGGTGGAAAAGACCAACCACGAACACGGAGCTATGCTGGCCCGTATGACGGCAGAGAAGCAGGACGATGCTGCAACACAGAGCGTGGCATCCTTCTCCACCACGGCCAGCACCAACCGCCCTACTCACTCGCAGGAGCTTCGCAGCGAGGTCCAAACCCTCAGCGATACCGTCGCCTCCATGCAGTACCACCTGGCCACGCCCACTCACCCGTGGGAGATCGAGGTTGTCTTCCTGCCCTTTCCTCTCAAGAAGCTGTGGCAGGTCCTCGACCAGTTCAAGCCCGACTCGGCTGCCGGGTCCGACGAGTGGACGCAGGTCCCTCCCATGACGTTCTGCGCGAGCACCCCGACCCTTTCCTCGTCCCCCGTGTACGACGAGTGGACCAGGCCGCACCACGATGCAGACTGGCTTCTCCCGCGGGCCTACTCGGAGACCAGTCCTGCTGGTTCCCGTCTACGCAGCCGTGGACTCGTACGCAACGTAGTGGTGCGTGGCCCTGACGCAAGGAGCGTTCAGCAGGCCATGATCGCTGCGTTTGGCGACGTGTGGCGTCAGATGATCAGTAGTAACGCGGCCTCGCAGAAGTCGGGCGGCGACCGCGCACGTCTCTCGCGGCGGTACACGGGCCTGCAGTCCATGTGGGTTCCCCTGCGCAAGGTGCACAAGGACTCGCGCCTTCGGCTCCTCAGCCCGGCCGAGATGCTCAACCCGACGAGCTGGAACGTCGAGTTCCTGAGCTCCGTCATGATGAAGAGGAAGACGGCCGTTTCGAGGCTGTACATCACCCATCCGGACGCATACCTGCAGGACTGGAATGCCTACGAGAGCGGGTGGACGTGGCAGCGCATCCGGGAGCTGAATCGCGTACACCTGGACCACCAGAACGCCGAGGTTCTCGAGGCGGATGCCCTCGAGACGTGCTGGGCCCGAGACGCACAGCTCGACGAGACACATAGCACCGCGGCCGTCAACCTCCTCCAACGACGGGCGACGACATCATCCCCCTCCCTGCGACACACCTCCTTCCTCGGCAGTCGCAGCGGCAGTCTCGGCCGCCGGTCGTCGAGCCCCGTGGTCCTGGCGGCCGCCCCCCTCCGTCACCAGCGCACATCGTCTATGCGCCACAGTCCGATGCCCAGCTCTGCCGTCGGGTTCCGTCACCCGTCTCCAGCCCTGACGCGGCGTCGCGTCGTCTCCTACGAGAGAGGCACGGCGGGCGCTGCGGGAACCAGACGAAGCCGCCAATCGTCGCCCAGCATGTCGCAGCTCGCCGCCCTACGGACCCGCCGTCAGACCCGATCACCCAGCTACCCGGCCTTCACCCCACGCATGACGGCCACACCCAGCCCCGCACCCATGCTCTCCGGCGGGCGGCAGGGACACCAGCGGGGCACGACACCATTCGCCTACGCGACACCGCACAGCAACGCCGCTGCCCCTCTGCAGGAGCTCCGTCTCATCAGGGCTGGCAGCGAAGCCCCCGTACCGGGGGAGTACATGCCCGATATGGATGAGCTGCACGACATTGAAATCTACGAGGAATGCGACTACTATTCCGAACCTTCATCCTCTTCCTCAGACATGTCCCTCGGCAACAACGATGATGATCACGGTATGCTCCTCCTGCAACAACAACAACAGCAGCAGCAACAGCGGCAGCGGCGGCAAACCGAATCTCTACGCGATAGGCAGCTCCCAGAGGACGAGCCGTGGCCCGGCATCGAGGAACTGCAGCAGCAAGATGGTCAGGGGGCAGAAGAGATGTCTGATGGGGAGAACGTCGATCCTGACGAGAGCGACGCGAGTAGCTTGCCGTCCGAGTATCCTTCCCACAGCGGTTGTTGGCCTGCTGGTTTTCAAATTCACGAGGATGAGTGAAGTACACACTTGTCTACTCTTGCACTCATATATACTCTTGTTCGAATACACACGCACACACACACACACACACACGCACACACACACACACACACACACACGCATACACATACCCATCTCCCATGTTATATAACCCTCCCCTCCCCTTTCTCACATGTACCGGTCAACCACCACTCTTATTAATGGCGTCTTGGATTTCTTTCCGTCTATATTTTTCGGGTACAAGATTATTTGGCTCAGAAGCGAAGCACGGTAGAATGATGGCATCAATGGACGGAAGCGGATGGAATGGATGCCTTGGATGGAATATATTACGAGGGCGGATATGAGTACTATGTAGTTGTCGTTTTCAATACAAATTCTACTTGGCATGATTGTACAAGGATATTGAGCATCAAGTATCAAGCATCAGAGAGTATCAAACACCAAACATCAAGCATAAACAAAAAACATATATTCATGGGCAGGGAGGAGAAAGAAGAGAAGAAGAAAAAACTCCAATCTAATCCGTCCAAGTTTGAGAGCCGGGGGTATCAATATCTGTTTTGCATCCCTCCTCAAACAAGGAAACGCAAAGTTGACGTAAATCTGTGTTGTCTAATGAACAGAAAATGTGTAGATGGGAAGACAAAAAAAAGGAAAGCAGAAAGCAAAACGTAAGAAGCAAGTAAACAGTACCGAGTATGAGAGAGAAGAGAACGCCGTATGTACTCCCTTGTAAGGAATGACAGCCTCCCTGGAAATTCTTCATGGATCAAATCATGTCGTCTCTAAGCGTATTGGGGATAGGAGCACCTTCTTGTACATCGAACGCAATGTGCATACGAAGGAATGTGTTGGGCGGAAATGCAGTAGTCGGGAAAAAAAGAGGGAAAAAAGGCTAATACCACTTCCCGTGCGGATCAAGCTCATATGTTATACGACAGCTGTCCACCTGGCACAGCTTAGACCGATTCAGAGTCTTGAATCTAGGCCCATCAGGCCCTGTAACATAGTGGTACTGGCCAAACAGACGCCATTGACGCGGGTCTGCCAGCGAGTAGAGCTCGTCGCCCCAGCGTCCGTCAAAGTGGAACCACGCCGTAGGTGCCTTGGGATTCTCGGCGGCCGGGACCAAACTGTCGAGGTACGTGTTGGAGTTGGCAATCTCTGGACCATCAGCCCCGTCCCCGACCCCGTCCCCGACCCCGTCCCCGACCTCGTCCCCGACCCCGTCCCCGACCTCGTCCCCGACCTCGTCATCGTCGTCGTGGATGGGGACCGGCTTATCGTGGGCGTAGTCGTAGTGGTAGGCGTACCGATTCAGACTGGGGTCCCAGAGAGGCCCCTTGTCTGTCACGTCCTTCAAGAGGCCAAAGGGGATAATGTAAGGGTGAGGACCCGGGAGCGGGTACATGGCGTGGGAACCAATGGCCGAGTAGATGATGGGTCGGTCATTGTCCGACTTCTCGACGGCCTCCCAAGCATAGGCCTGCCCGCCCTCATGCTCGGAGAAAAAGACGCCGCGGGGCGTGCCATTCTCGAAACGCACCATGCAGTGTTCCCAGTCGCCGACGTGATTGCCGAAGCGGAGGCCGAGGACCGTCTGGCCGAGGTTGTACGAGTAAAAGAAGAACCAAAAGGCATCGACAATGCCGGACCCCTTGTCCACAACGATTAGAATGGCAGGGGCCTTGGAGTAGCCGTCGGCGTCTGGCTTGTGGCCGCGTGGGGCAAGGCGCTTGGCTCGATCCGTGTCGGACCCGTACCGGCGAGGGTTGGCGATGCGGTGCAGCGGGTGCTCCTTGTCGACGTCATACCACGTAGTAGGCTCCCTGTTGACGGGGTTGGTGCCTGCGTGGATGCGCGACGGCTTCTCAAAGATGTTGCCGGGGTCCTCCTCAAAGGGCTCGGGGATATTGTGGTGGCTGTGTAGCCAGTCGGGACGGCTCTCGACGTCGTCATTGCTGCGAAGTATGACGTGTCGGCCTTTGTCGTTGAGGAGGTGAAGGTTGTGGAGGTTCCATTCTCCATCTGTGGTGTTGAGGGCTTCTCCATCGACGAAGACGGTCATGTGCTCGACATGCTCCCTGATATCCGAGGGCCAGAACTGCTCGCCCGAGTAGAGATGGACCAGAGGCGCATAACGGGTGACGTAGTCGGGGACGTCTCTGAGTATCCTCCTCCTATCGTTCGTGTTCCTCTTGGTGTCGAGGCGGGGAGCGCCTTCCTCCCAGTTGGTGGCACGCTTCCTCAGTTCACTGCGTACCTCGTCATGGTCGTCGTGGTAGAGGATGCCACCCTGGGCCGGGTCCTTGCGAAGGTGATGCAGACCGCAGAGGCTCGCCCAGGCACATGCCTGACGATCCAGCCAGTACGGACTGCTCTGAACCCATTTGCGATCGCGAGCCATCTTCTGTGGGTTAGGCTCTGTCGGGTCGAGGTAGCGTGGTACTGCCCAGGCCGTGAATGATGCGAACACCAACAGGCCTAAGAGCAACGAGAAGCGTCGCAGCCAATACATATTCTTCTTTTCTCGCCCTTCTTCTTCTCCTCTAGGCCGACCTTCTACTTCCTCCCTCCAAGAAGCCGAGCTGGAGCAGGATGCCTCCGCCGAGACTGTTGATGAGCGATGTCGGACGAGTATATTCGTACTCGTACAATGGATGCAGCTGATCCGTACCGGTAGATCCGGAATGTTCGGGAACGAGATATTTCTGTAACGGCCAGTTTCGCAGGCAACGTCAAAGGATCGATGCAGGGAGGAAGGTAAGAAACGAGGGCGTGTAGCAACGAGAGACAGAGAGAGAGAAATGAACTCGAGATGCTATAGTCCAGCTACAGCGACATAATTGCATCGAATGATTTATGTGAGAGCGGTAAAGAGTGGGAAAGGCGGCAAGTGCCGAGTGGGGAAGGGCGGCGGCGACGGAAGGAGGTGAGGGGGAGAGGGGAGGGGCACAAAAAGAAAAGAGGACAAGGGAAGAGAGGCGATTGACGATGCCGAGAAGGATGAGGACCGGAGGATAGACAGAGAAGAGTGATATACAGGGGAGAAAGAGTGGCTCAATAGCCAAAGAATGAACGGGACTTGTTGGGGATCAAAAACAACTTGAGGTGACATGTGGTCCGAGTCATGACCGACAACTTGAGCGATTGCTGTGGCAGTAGATGCAGCAGGTGCAGCAGGTGCAGTAGGTGCAGAAGGTGCGGTATGTGCGTCGGCGGCGGCAGGAGCGATGGGCAGCGGCGGGTCCTATTACGGAGGGCAGGAGCAACCAAGCACTGGCAAGCAGGAAGGTACGCCTGGCTTTCATCATCACGGGCATCATGCGGGGCTGCAATACGAGAGGCTACGAGTGATACCTACGGCACATCTGTCTCGGTCTTTTGATGTGTTATTATCCCTCCGCCCTCACATCTGTGTACGAGTACGAGTACATGTATCCTCTCTGTCAGTTAGTTACCGATATCACGTCCTGGTATCTGTACTTGTACAGGTAGCAATACCGAGGTTCGAGAGTCGTCATGTACCTATCAGCGGCGTCAGGGCCTTTGCGTGATACGGCTGAGACGTCCCTATTGGCCCCTAGTCTTGTAGCGGATACCCGTCGTGACATGGCATCCCCCCCCCCCCCCCCCCCCCCCCCCCGGCCCTACGTGACACCTTAGCGCACACTTGCAACAAAACGCAATGATCCGAATTCGTAAATTTTTTCTTCAGATTTTGCGAGATATTACACGAGTATATACAGATTATATGTACCCAGGTATTAGGCTACACAGGCCTTTTAGCTATTCTAGCAACCCCTACCATTAGCATATATTACAGTAACAATTTCTCCTCTATTTCTTATTCTTAATTTTATTCCAGCTTTCAACCATTGCATTGGTTATATTGATCGCGTTGGCTGCGCTGACTGCGTTGGCTGCGTTTGGTTTCAAACGTGTGCCAAGGTACCACCGTACTCCCACCCCACCTTTGAGACACTGTCGTCACGGGACTACGGAATGTACTCGTATGTACGGATAGAGGAACAGGGTCCATTACCAACCCCCTCCTCCTTCCCACTCGCCTATACGAGTAAGTCGTGACCTATAAAATATCGTATGAGCCTGCAACTCGTGATTCTTCTTTTTAATATAATACTGAACGAGCAGTATGGAATAGTATGGAATAGTAGTAGTAGTAGTAGTAGTAGTAGTAGTAATAGTAGCGGTATGATATTGTCGGATCCGTCTTAGTAATAGTACAAGCGACTCCCTTAAGATGCAGACAACGACCCGTGCCGCATAACGTGTCAAGGCAGGGTGACACACCAGACACGGCAGATGGGGCGCCATTGGGCATCTCATCCATCTCGTTGTATTATCTCTCTCTCCCTTGAAAAAAAAAAGATGACATGGCGCTGCAGGATTTGCATCTAAACTGCATGTTAGTTTCGCCGGGTAACATTTGTGATTTATATGTCCCGACTGGTGATGGCTGGAGGTCGAGGGAACAATGCATCATCCCCCTTGCATGGTAGTATCGCCAAATTCATCGGCTGAACCACCATCATCCTCGTCGTCTTCGATAATATCGTCGTCCGTTTCGTGGCCAATCTCTTCCTCCTCCTCCTCCTCCTCCTCCTCATCCTCATCATCATCATCATCATCATCATCATCATCATCGTCATCGCCATCATCATCATCTTCTTCGTCTCCATCCACACTGCCGTCCTCCTCTTCCTCCCCCTCTGCCCCCCTGGCTGTCCCCAAGTCAGACCACCGCCTGGGCGTAGGCACAGACAAGACGTCTGCATCATCATCAGCCTGGAGTCCCGCCCCTGGCGCCTGGTTGTGGTGACCGGATAATACGCCCCGGACCCTAGAAGAGGAAGCGGCGCCACCGCCATCCTCCTCGTCATCACCGTCGCCGTGTCGTATCTTGACCCGCTTCCTCCTCGGCCGAAAATCCGGATCCCGGTCGTCGTGGAAGTTCTTACCCACACCGTCCTTTGCGTAGACTGTCACCTTATCCTCGTCGCCCCTCCTGATCTTGAGCGCAATCAGCCTCTCCAGGAAGCTGGCCTGCTGCGCCCTCTCGCCGTGCTTGTTCTTGCCCACGGGGATGTTGATGTTCCATTCTTTCTTGATGGGAGCCAGCGAGTCCTTGGCCGCCTTCTTGGGGTGAAGTGTTTTGCGCTTCGTCATGATCCGCGACGCGCTGGCCCCCAGAAGGTCCACGCCTCCCGGGAGATGGCGCAGCGCGGGCAGCTGCGCCGGATCATCCTCGTGGTGTGACGCGAGTATCACCTCTGTGCCCACCACCTCTGACCAGTCGCCCTCGAATACGTGACCTCTGTAGGATATGACGGGGTGTTGCGAGTGCAGGTCTAGAATCTGAATGTCGGACACCGGCTCCAGATCGTCTTCGTCCTCGTCGCCGTGCCGGTCCTGCTCGTCCTGCTCCGGCTCGTCCTGCTCATCTTCACTTTCGTTTGCCGGGTCGCCAGCGGTGGCAGCAGCAGCAGCCTCAGCAGTCTCAGCAACAGCAGGATCAACGTCTGCGTCCGCGCCGACTTCTCCTCGTAGACTCGGGTGAATGGCCGACATATCGTCATCGTCGCCTGTGTCGGCAGGTAACGTCGCGTGGGCAGGGTTAGACGGGGTCGTCGTCTCGTCGCCTCGAATGCTGCCACCGCGTGGATTAGGATTCGGCTTGGCGCTGCGCGCCCGCGCTGGTGCGGGCGTCGCTTCTGTCGCGCCCCTCGGCTCTTCCAGCCACTTCTTGTAGTAGCCTCCCCGACTGTGGTGTGGATTTCGCGTCGCCGTGCCCTTGAACTCTGGATATGATAGCTCTACTGTGAGATAGTAGGTCTAGGATTGTGTCAGCCACATACACGCACACGCACACGCACACGCACCCGCTCTATATATGTATCAGAGAATTCTTCCATACCTCTGTCTCTGTAGTGGAATAGTCATATTCCCATTCATCTTCATCATCTGCGCCGGCCGCAGCGACGGAACGAGCCGTGGACGACCTGGGCGCGTCACTCATAGAGATATGGTCACTTCCAGGTGCACAATTCTGAACCCTTCCTTAACGGCTAGGCATCGAAGCCCGGATGTCCACGGAGATGAAATATGCGAGAATTCGTATGTGTCTTTGAGAAAAAGTTCAAAAGACAAAGGTTGATTACCCTTTGCGGCGGCGCTGTTGAGGTCGGTCAAGGGCGGCACAAAAATGCACGGCATCACAGGCAAATACAGGGATCAGGCGGGGCAGAGAACAGTCACAGGCTCACAGCACCCGTAATACAGCGTACATAGAGCAATGGATGCCCTGTAGAGGAATCGTCACAGGCTTGCCGGTGCTTCGCTCTGCCCCGCTATCGCCGTGGCGCATCATCTTTTGTTTAAACTGCCCCTCCTCATCTTGACTCACATCCTTGTCCCTTGCCTGTCCTTGTAAGAAGGAAAGGAAAGCATATACCTCTTTACATACTACTTTTGATACCCGCTGATAGACCTGCTTGTATCCTTCCTCCTCCTCCTCCTCCTCCTCCTCTCACTCCTTCCTCCTACCAGCCCCTCTCCTCCTCGCGCAAGAAAACACATTCAGGGCCACCATGCCCACCGTTCACCTACTGGACTATGTTGCCGGCAACGTCCGAAGCCTGGTCAACGCAATTGAGAAGCTGGGATACGACGTAGACTGGATCAAGTCTCCTGAAGATGTTCCCCGGGCCGAAGTTAGCAAGCCCGCACCCTCTCCTTTCCCTTCTCCTGACCTAGACTGACATGCCCTGCGGCGCGCGCAGAAACTCATCCTCCCCGGCGTCGGCCACTTTGGCCACTGCATGTCGCAGCTTTCGCAAGCCGGCTTCCTCCCCGCAATAAAGAATCACATCAACTCTGGCAAGCCGTTCATGGGCATCTGCGTCGGCCTGCAGGCGCTGTTCGAGGGATCGGACGAGGATCCGGCGGTCCCCGGTATGGGGCTGATCAAGTCGTCGCTCGGCCGCTTCAACTCGTCAGACAAGTCGGTGCCGCACATCGGCTGGAACAGCGCCGATACGGGTGGCAAGGAGGTGTACGACCTCGGGCCGGACTCCAAGTACTACTACGTGCACACGTACCGCGACGCCTACAAGCCGGGGGAGCTCGAGGCGCAGGGCTGGACGGTGGCGACGGGCACGTACGGTGACGAGACGTTCGTCGGGGCCGTGGCCAAGGGGAACGTGTACGCCACGCAGTTCCACCCGGAGAAGTCTGGCGTCGCCGGGCTGCGCACCATCCGCTCGTTCCTCACCGGCGAAGGTGCCGCCAAGCTAGCGCCCGCCTCCGCGGCCGGGGCCGCGGCCTCGACGGCCGAGTTCAGGGACGCCCTGACCCGCCGCGTCATCGCCTGCCTCGACGTGCGCACCAACGACCAGGGCGACCTGGTCGTCACCAAGGGCGACCAGTACGACGTGCGCGAGAAGGACGCCGCGGGCAAGAACGACGTGCGCAACCTCGGCAAGCCCGTCGAGATGGCCCGGCGGTACTACGAGGAGGGCGCCGACGAGGTGACGTTCCTCAACATCACGTCCTTCCGCGACTGCCCCGTGGCCGACCTGCCCATGCTGGAGGTTCTCCGCCAGGCCTCGCGCACCGTCTTCGTGCCGCTCACCATCGGCGGCGGCATCCGCGACACGGTCGACACGGACGGCACCAAGGTGAGCGCCCTGGAGATCGCCACCATGTACTTCCAGTCGGGCGCGGATAAGGTGTCGATCGGGTCCGACGCCGTCCTCGCCGCCGAAGAGTACTACTCCCTGGGTCGTAAGCTGTTCGGCAACACCGCCATCGAGCAGATCTCGCGCGCCTACGGTGCCCAGGCCGTCGTCGTCAGCGTCGACCCCAAGCGCGTCTACGTCCCCAACGGGACCGACGCCACCCGCCACGCCACCATCCGCACCGCCATCCCGGGCCCCAAGGGCGAGGCCTACTGCTGGTACGCCTGCACCATCAAGGGCGGCCGCGAGACCCGCGACATGGACGTCGTCGAGCTCTCCCAGGCCGTCGAAGCCATGGGCGCCGGCGAGATCCTGCTCAACTGCATCGACCGCGACGGCTCAAACTCCGGTTTCGACCTCGAGCTCATCCGCCAAGTCAAGGGGGCCGTCAAGATCCCCGTCATCGCCTCCAGCGGCGCCGGCAACCCGGGCCACTTCTACGAGGTCTTTTCCCAGACCACCACTGACGCTGCCCTCGGTGCCGGCATGTTCCACCGTGGAGAGTACACGGTCAAGCAGGTCAAGGATCACCTCCAGGAGAAGAGCCTGGTCGTACGACAGTTTGAGGGCGATCTGTGAGTTTTTCTGTTTGTTCCCATACTTGAAAGGGCAAACAAGTAATACTAGTAAAAAGGTATAAAAAGATATATTAAAAAGGAAAGGTTAAAAGATACGGTATAAAAGGGGAACAGGTTAGACATGAAGATCAATGACATTTTTTTTTTCTCTTCTTTGACACGTCTATCTGTTTAGACAATCTCGTAGTATTGAACACAAGTTAACTAGCTAAGCAGCTAAATAGTACCAAACTCCCACGGACGCTACACAAAAACAATCTGACAAAAAACAAGGAGATAATGAAACACCAGACTCTGTCGACGCCTCCGAAGAACACTCGCGGTAGGACCCCTTAGTGCTTTTCCGCGTTAGATGAGAGCGTACGCGAATGATATGGTACAAAAGTGTCCAACGAAACAAATCGAACAAATCAAGTTAAGAAAACTGAAAGTAGAGGAGAAAGTGAATAGGATATCGAGGGAGCTAGACGAGAAAAGAGACATGGAGGGATTCATACGTCCTCTCGTCCTCTCTCTCTTACATATCCATACCCATGAAGACCCATCTCTTGCTGGTAACGTCGAGATCGTTGGCCCAGTGGTCGAGGGTCATCATCTCGAAACCTACCCACTGGAGGCTCTTTGTCAGTTCGACGGCATCTTGGGCGGGTATGCGGCGGTCGATGCATACGACGATATGGGAACAGCCCAGGGGACCGTCGGCCAACTCGATAAGGGCCATGAGACTGGTGGATATGCATGTTAGTTCTCTTCTTCTTCCTATATATATATATATATATATATAAAGGGACGACGGCAAGGGGAGGGGGGCAGGAAAGGCAAGGTTAACACATACGCCTTCTTCAGGTCTCTCCCCACAATACCTTCAATGTCGAAAAAGACGAAGAGACTGGTCTCCTCGCCGTTGTCGACAGTAAAGGCACGGAAGCTCGCGCCGCCGGCATAGTCCCAGACCTCCATCCAGGTAGCGACGTTGAATGGCCCGGGACATGAGCTGCTGTTGATGCTCTGCTGCGAGAGGGACTGGGCATCGCTGCCCCGGCGCATGGTGGGCGGGAACTGGTTGTCGGGCGGTGGCGTGGGTAGCATGCTTTGCGCTTGATATTGAGCACTGTTCAGGCCGGAGCCATACTTGGACGGGTTCCTCTCACCAAGGAAAGCCGTCTTCATGGACTCGCAGAAGAATCTCTCACATTCTTCCCTGATTGACAGTGCCGCCCCCCCTCGTCGCCCCAGGCGGCGACCTGGGATATTGTCGCGCTTCTTCTGCTTGGGCAGGAGAGCAAGCTCGTTGGACGAGTTAAGTGCGGCGAGGGGGGGGCTTGTTGGTGGGGATGGTAGTCCTGAGGAGGGGACCTCAGGAATACCACTCGGCCCCTGATGGATTTGTCAGTATCTCTGTCTCTCTCTCCCTCTCTCCCTTGATCTCCTTCCATACATCATCT